ACACACACACACACACACACACACACACACACACAAATAGATAGCTAGATAGATGACTGACAAATATAGGATAACTTCTAGGGTAGCTTGCATGCACAATAAGCGTGCACGGCAAATAAACTGCCCACAGAGCCACGCACATTGTGTGGAATGCACTCGGCCAGAGTAGCACTGTCAGACAACAACAACAAAGTAAGTCTGTAGGCTGCAATATGCGTTTATGGCTCGTCACGTATTTCGGGCCCAGTACGGGTCATAAAATTTCAGGATTCTGGGCTGGGCAGACTGCTGACACACACACAAAAAAAAAAAAATGAAGTGAAGTGAGATACGAGTTGAATTCCTTCAGTGACCATGCTCGTAGCTCAAAGCCTCTTACCACAAATGTAGACATATATTCTAACCATAATTGCGTGTTTAAATAAAGGACTTCAGACTTAAAATATTTTTTGATTTGAGTGGATAAAAAGTTTTGCCACCAATGACGAACAACCATTTGACCAAAAGTGGTGCTCCTGACTGGGATGGTGCAGTTGCCTACGATACTGTTAAATTAAGTTAAATCAAAACAAATGTTAAGGATACCCGTCCAGATTGGCTTGTTGCTGCGCTTCTTTTTGCTAAAGGATTCACACACGTACACAGACACACACAAACATTTAAGAAGCAACAGATGCCCCCAGCGATGAGGTGGCTGACGTGTATAAATCAATATTTTTGTCCTCCTTTCAACCCCCCCCCCCTTCCGCCAAACACACACATCGCCTTAGAACCGATGCCCTCCAGAACACAATAGAGGTCATGACTTTAGTATGACCCCTCTATATTCCCTCGCAGACTCAAATAAAGCCAATACTCTGTCATTGATGGGGATGGTGCGACTCGCAACTATAATTGTAATCAATTATTTTTCTTATTATCCACTCATATTTATAAGATTTGGAAAGCTGGTTTTGCACCCGCATTGATACATTAGGCACATTCAAATCATTCCAAACGGAATGTGTGGATTTGATAAGAAACGTGGATACTTGGTTTTGTTAAGAACAAGACCGTTACGGTGGCTCCTTTAAGTGAAAGATTAGTGGCATTCAAATCATTCCCAACGGAATGTGTGGATTTGATAAGAAACATGTGGATACTTGGTTTTGTTAAGAACAAAACCGTTACGGTGGCTCCTTTAAGTGAAAGATTAGTGCGCCATCATGTGGTAGAATTGGTCTATTACAACGATGGCAATTTGACCTCTCGCAGCTCAGTTCTGTAATTGCACTGATGTGATTTCACGTTTTCAAGGAGTCCTTCCAGTTGACATCACAAAGTTTAAAGCTTCCTTTCTTCCTTCAGACTCGCTTTTTATTCATGTATCCTTACATACTTGCTTACTTTACTTAAACCTCCTTTTTCTGCCTTCCTACACTTACTTTCCTTTTGTGCATCCTTTCTCCTTCCTTCTGTCATTAAAATCCTTCCTTCCACCTCAGGAATATTTTTCTTCTTTCCTTCCTGATCTTATTCCTTCTCTCCTATCTTCATTTCTACCTTTGTTTCTTTTTTCCTTCCCTTCAGAGCCACTTTTTAAAATTTTCTTTGTTCCATCCTTTGCTTTAACCTGTTTTTCAGCCTTCCTTCCTTCCTTTCTTCCTTCTGTCCACCTCAGACATGATTTTTCCTCTTTCATTCCTTCTCTCCTATCTTCCTTTCTGGCTTCCTTCCATCAGAGCTTCTTTTTTCACTTTGCATCGTTCCTTCATTAGCTTAAAGTTGATTTTCTGCCTCTGTGCTTTACCTCAGTCCCACTTTAAAAAAAAAAAATCACCCTTCTTTCCTTTGCTCAAGCCTATTTGTCCGCCTTCTTTTCTGACCACATTCCCTCCACCTCATACATGATTTTTTTCCTTTCTGCCGTGCTAACTTCCCCGAGACTCACTTTTAAAATTTTCTGTCATTTATTTATTTATGTATTTATTTATTTAATGCTGAATGCCGCTATACTATTCTGCCTTTCTCCATTTCTTCGGTACCGGTCCAATACTGCTTTTTTAAAATCCACCTTGTTTGTTTGTTCCCCCCAAAATAATTGACACTATTCACAGTACCTGTAGAAAAGTTTGTTTAAAAAGTGCATACTCACATTTGGCCCATATCAATATGCACAATTGATTCCAATGCATGTTGGGTCAGAAGCACGCGCTGCCAATTATTGCGTTCATTCAAAGCGGAAAGCACGTGCAGATGGCCGCGATTGAGAAGGCGAGGTGCCATACCTCTCAACCCCCCACCACACTCCCCGATGAATTGAATTTGGTGTCCAGAAGATGGATGGATCCCTCCCCAAAGATACACAGTTTATGAGTTTGGGCTTTTTGGGCAAATGGGAAGAGAAAATGATCGTGTGTAAAAATGAAGATAAAGTGGGAAGAGATGTCTTTATAAGCCCACGCACACATGATGCAGGTGCTGATACGTAAATGGCTCAAAGATGGGATCATAAACATATATTGATTATGCACTTTGCACTGATATGAATGAAGAATGACAACACATGGAATGGTTGGGATGCTCTTGAGAACGAATAACCAACACCCCTTTGTCAACAAAACACAACAAATAGTCATAAAAAAATACTCTAAATTTACAGTACTTCAGTTTCGCAAAATCGGCCAAATCATGATCGGAAGGGACGGGACCCTGCAACATTTTAGTAACATTATGTATATGCAATATTGCTTCGTTTTTGTTGACACGCAGTGCAAATTTGAGCATTTTTCGATAGTCGTTATAGGAGCAACTTATCTTTGAATACAGATGGTGGAGCAGCACACATTGACAGACAATATAACCGGATAACTGTAGACTAAAGTCAACAGTTTCCGCGCCTCATCGCTGTACAGCTTGCCAAATTTTCTCCATGACAAAGCCCACAATGTCAACGAAACGTTGTGTACTGTATTTCTAAAAACTGTCAGTTGTTTATAAAACCATACCAAAAGGCAATGGCAACCTTGAACTGGCAACAAGGAAAGCAGCTACGGCCAAATACCGCCAAATTTTTCTTAATGCTTGAGCCTGAAAAAAGGGTTAATCTTTGGTTGCATTCAATTCATGCAGTGCAAATTTGAGCATTTTTCTATAGTCGTTTTAGGATCAACTTATCTTTCAATACGGATGGTGGAGCAACACACATTGACAGACAATATAACCGGATAACTGTAGACTAAAGTCAACAGTTTCCGCGCCTCATCGCTGTACAGCTTGCCAAATTTTCTCCATGACAAAGCCCACAATATCAACGAAACGTTGTGTACTGTATTTCTAAAAACTGTCAGTTGTTTATAAAACCATCCCAAAAGGCAATGGCAACCTTTTCTTAATGCTTGAGCCTGAAAAAAGGGTTAATCTTTGGTTGCATTCAATTCAGTATTCTATTGTATATGTATTAGGTGTAATAATAAAGATGAGTACTTCACGAATTTCACTTATTACGGCTTCTTTTTGGGACATAACCCCAGTGATAAATGAGGAATTACTGGACAACATTATAGAGTGTTATTAAAATTAAAAAAAAAAAAGCACTAATGGGATGGAGTGGAACTGATTAATGGTAGTTGCATTTATTTCAATGGATAATGGTGATTTGAGACACCATAAATATTTTGCTGAGGTCACATTGCCTTACCTGTGCAACTTTATATAAGATAAGAGCGTAAAAAAAAAAAAAACAGCACGTGTTATCAGAGTTACATGATGGTGAGTCACAATCATATCAGAGCTTTCAATTGACTAAGGTTGGGAGGAGTAATCGATTCCCATATGTAGGTGACATAATAATTTATTGATTATTTTAGACCTCGATGGTCTAAAAAAGGAGGGAGGGGGGCACCAGGACGCTGATTAAAGTCACCTTGTCACACGCAATGACACATCTACAACAATTGGATTTCAAAGATCTTAAGCAAATGGAAATGTCATGATTGTAAGTGTCCAGATTGAGCCCGGTGGTTCCGAGGCCTCTAATGTATGCACACACACCTCATGACAAGCCCCAGTACAGATGGTCCGAGCGTGAGTCTGAATGAGAAGGGAACCATCCGCGGCTGCTGACGCATTGTGTGTGTGTATGTGTTGGGAGGGGTCTTCAATACAGCACTTAATGAGAACAGACTGGCCCTTTCTCAACCCCCTTCCCGTCCCTCGCCCGACGCCCCCCATCCGCCCAACACACACACACACACACACACACACACACACACACACACACACACACACGCGCACACACACCCTCGCTGTCTGATTCTCCATTTCTCCGCTCTGCCCATTCCCATCTGTTTGGAGACAAAGGGCCACGAGCCAGCTCGGGCTTCGGGACCCGGCTGGTGAAGTAGGCCCGGATAATACGGCCCATCCCGAGGGCTGCATTTCAACACATGGACCAAGGCTTTGTACTTTGTGTACCTATGCTGCTCAAGCACTCTTCATCGGAGGGGGGAATCTCCGACAAAACAACCGACTCCATCAGGTGTTCGCATGTGCGCTTTGAACATCCATGCGGTGCGGAGTATTATAATGGCCAGCGAGGCAAAAAAAAAAAAAAAAAAATGACAGCTCTCCAGTGTTGTGAACATATGGCTGTTTGTTGTCACACTGTCCCTGTCCAATTTGCACAAAGCGTGCCACTTCTCTGAATTAAACGGGTGCGAGTGGAACGCCACGTGCATGCTGGCATGGAGCGAACCCCGAGCACGCCCAAGTGATGAAGAGGATGATGATGGCGGCTGTACCGTCTATTGCAGGCTGCACACTTCCTGACATATGGTCGCTCCTCATCCTCCACCATTACATAAGCCCGCTGTGTCGTGTGTTAGTGTGTGTGTAATGTGACTCTCGCTTTTTCTCTTGTCTCTCTCTCTCTCTCTCTCTCTCTCTCTCTCTCTCTCTCTCTCTCTCTCTCACTCTCTCTCTCCCCCTCACACACATGTCACACACACAAACACATACTGTACACACAGCAGCAGCAGCAGCCATACTATCAGCCAGGCTGTTCAGCGCCCTCAGCAGTTTGGGGGATGGAGGGGAGGCAACGGAGGGAGGACAGGGGGCAGAGTGGTGGGGGTTATGGGGTAAGGAATAAATTGAAGGAAGCTGATGCTAGCACAGCTTTCGAGATGGGGGCGGGGGGGGAGGGGGCGAACAAATGGCCTTGTGGTGCCTTAATGGAAGTGTACAGATGGACAGAGCCTTTGAGTAGACTCGAGAACAAGTCCAAACGATGCCACAAGTTCACAGCTTGTTTTGGTTTTGCATAGAAGAGCACAATCTGTCCATGTGGTCATTCATTTTCTTTTAGTTAAGGCATTGCAAGGAGTTGCACTTGAATCATATTACAGTGTGGAACTTCAGAGGTGGTGGAAGCCAATCCATTCCAGAACACCGGTTGACCTCTGGTGGAACCAGTGGCAGTTAATTCAACTTAACTTTACAACAAGCTGCAGATAGTGAACAGTGCTTTTGAAATAAGGCTTGAAGGTAAGTGTCAAAGTCAACATCAACAAAGAGAATTTCACATTGTCAAACTCCATGATGCGCATTGATTTGTCGTGTTGTAGCCGTTTAAGCCAGTGGTCCCCAACCTTTTCATGTGCCACAGACGTGTTTAGACAAGTACATGCTGTCCGCGCACTGTCAACAATTTGCCGATCGGGGGAGCTTTGGGGTGGGTGCGTGTGTGTGTGTGTGTGTGTGTGTGTGTGTGTGTGAGTGTGTGTGTGTGTGTGTGTGTGTGTGTGTGGTAGTTAGGGTGGCGGGGATGTCTATCAAAATCGACTTTACTTTTTTGTTTGTTTTTTTTTAAATGCAATTTTTAAAGCATTGATATTGACTACAAAGATTTTTCTAGAGTAAATGGCTCATGTTTATGTGGGCAGGCTGTGCAAGCGCCGCTCATATTTTCATGCTTTCCACTTCATCGCTTGGGTGCTCCAAGTTCAAATTACTCAACAGGTTTGTTTTACTGCAATGATGACCCTCCATTCCCAATTTTAATTTTTTCTATTTTTGCTGAGGTGGGGCGGGGGGCGGGGGGCTGTCTGAGTCCGGCCTGGTACTGGTCCACGGAGTGGTGGTCAGAGATCACAAACAGTGCAGCAACACATGCAGCCAGGCAATTTAACAATTCAGTCATATATTATTTATTCCGTGCAAAAAAACCCTATTTTATTACTTGTGAAACTCTTCTTTGTGTGTATCTGCATGTTTGTATTATACTGGCCCCTGCTGGCCAAGGAGCACACATCGGAAGAAAGTGGGGTTGGAACAGATTATTGGCATTTATATTCATTTAAATGGGGAAAAGTTGATTTAAGATGTGAGTGCTGTGAGTTATAAGCATGGTCACAGAAACAATTCACTAAGTAAGTCAGGGTACCATTAACTGTACAGCAAATATTTTCAACCTGTATGACAATTAATACGTTACGTTAATTACGTAAGTAAATAGTGAAAGCCAGGCTTTCACTCTCATCATGTCACTGCAACACAAAATTCATTTGGATTTGTCATCCTATAATATTGTTTAATCGTAGCGATGTTGTAATGAGGTGAACTAACATCTTTCCTTAAAGTAAAAATCATGGCCAGAAACGCAGTTGTGTCCTTAAATCTGCAAAATCATCACACTTATGAACCATGCAATCAGATTGCTCCAATTACTCTTTTTTTTCAGAATAGCAACTCAAAAGCAGATATCTGGTGAGTGAATTTTAGAACAGGCTGCAGGCTCCTCATCTGATCCTTGGGGGCTACCTGGCACCTGCAGGCACCATTTTGGTGAGCTCTTATATTGACCTGTTCATCATGACGTCATGCAAACTTCTGGGTGGCCTCCAAAAAAACAAAAAATAAAACTTCTATGAAACAGGGGAATTGGCTTTTTTGAGTTTAGCCTTCTCCTTTACGGCTGTCGTCTGTCACGTGTCAGTCCAAAGCAAAATGGTAACTGAAGTAAATGCCTTCTGAAGAAGGTTGTCCATTTCAACAGGTAAGTTGATTAAAAGATGCCTGCGATATTCAGACCTGACGAGATCATTAATGGGGAAGTCAACAGCCAAATTTTCTTTACAATAACATTTTTTCTGCACCTCCACTTGTCCAAACACGGCTGATTAATGTTGTGTTTGTGGAATAGGAGATAAGCAGCAAAATCCATCTGTTTTTAGCCATCTCACGAGGCGGTCATTTAGCGAATTTCTGTCAACTGAAAATTACATCACAGTTGCTCAGAGCTCAGGTAACAACCAATAATGGCTCAGTTTCAGAAAACAGGTAAGCAATTTCGGAAAACAGCCAGCTCGTTAGCTAGCTAGCTAGGTCGGTGGCTAGCTCGCTAGCTGGATAGATAGATAGATAGATAGATAGATAGATAGATAGATAGATAGATAGATAGATGGGCCTCCATCACAAATGAATGTAAATATTTGTGTATTTTGCTCAAACCATTTGGCCATATTATACAGCTCGGTGGTGAGCTGGCTCATAAATTTCCATGTCTCCCATCGCATCCCTCCCTCCCGGCTTTCCCACGGGAGGTGCCAGACGGCCAGTAATTTGGTTGTCTTGGCTCGTCTGGAGTAACACCTGCCCCCTCTCTGGGGAGGGAGCGAGCCTTTCAGCCAGGAGCGCACATGAAGGAGCCTCCTACCACTGCCTTAGCTGCTGACCACTCACACTGTGTGTGTGTGTGTGTGTGTGTGTGTGTGTGTGTGCTAGTGTGTGTGCAGCACGCTAACCACATGCATATTAGTCGCTTTCCACACGTCCACGTGCACGAGCGTGAAGCTGAAAGTCATCCTTGATATCGGTGCTTCTCATAATGAGCTACGAGGACAATGAGTTGTATGCAAGCTCCCTCTTGTGGTTCACAAAAGAATCACTGAAATAAATGTTCAAACTGAGCATTACATGCTAAACAATTTTTTTTTTTATCCAGTACAGTACACTTTTTGAGTAGAGTTCAGTTGCATTGAACTTTGAAGTGGTGTACATTGGCTATTAATTCTTGAGAATTGTTTGTTGTCAAAGATTGATTTAGGTACAATTTTTATGTGCTGTACAATTTTCAATCATTTCTACAAGAGCAAATTTTTAATTTTCCTATATTGAAGTTCAGTTTCAATGTTCAAAACAAGCATAATGTTACGGTGGCTTGTCATATTATTAAATGTGCTTTTTATGATGATGTTAAATGTACTCAGACTAGTTTGCACATTCTTATCCCCACATTTTGAAACGGAACGATTATAATCAAAAGAATATAAAAATGCAAACAACATTTCTTTTCAAATATCTCCGTTTTTAATTGAAAATAACACCGGAAAATATGAAAAGTCTGTCCTTTAGAAACCAGCAGTCACACAATAGCTCTACTACAAAAGATGTGCATATAAGCAACAAGTAGTCTACACAACCCTGAAGAGACAAAAAAATTCTTTGGATAGAGGATATGTTTTTTTTTTCTCTTCACTAGAAAAAGCACATCATTAATTTCCAAATACAAAGCAGAGACAATTAAACAAATAACACCCTCCCCACCTCAATAACATCAAATTATTGAACATAATAAATTCAGAGTAGGCTACTTCTTGTAAATTACTTGTTTTTTGGTCACAGCAAAAAAAGAGAGGTTGAATCATTTCAATCCCTCAGCGGTGGAAGCCGTTTACCATAATCGTTTTTAAAATAAAAAGTTATGAGGGGTCCATTTCTAACCTCTTAACTATCAGGAAATAAATATTTTATAGAGCTCGTGTGCTCCACCTTGAAGTGCTTATCGTTGCTATTGATAGACAACAGACATCAAATGATGACAGTCATAATAATAATAAGAATAATAAAAACACATACATCAGACTCACGCGAAATAAATAAACAGAAAGTGCATTTTTAAAGAGGACCATCACTTTTCCAGGTTGAATTCCACAGTCTAAAATATCGAAGCGAAAACAATTACACGCACACACACTCACACACAAACACGCACACACACATACATACACGCCCGAGGTAAACATAAATAAGTGTAGTCTTAAATAGCAACACAAATAAATAAATAATTCCGCACGCTTAAAAAAATAACAATTTAAGGTCACCGTTTTATACGTCATAAGTGGCACTTTCGCATGTTCTCATTCCTCACCCCTGTGGAAAAGTAGAATTCATGGACGGACATTTCCGCTTTTGTGGCCGCATAAAGGCTACGTCATGAATCTGGGACTGATCGTGTGGACAAATTAATTCGATTAAAATGGGACTTATCCCCCGACTCGCTTTGGGACGCGGTTACATGACGTCACCGAATGGCCCGCTAATGCCTTTGGGCCACTCGCCGCCACGGATCTGAAATAATGATGCGGCAATTGGCGCCCGATCGGCCGCCACGAGCCTTTTGCGTGGTGTGAAGGGGGACAAACATGTTTTCAAATCAACTTTCGCCCGCTTAACTACGAGGAGCAGAGGGGCGCGTTTGAAAATCGAGAATGGAAACAAAAAAACACTGTTCAAGAAAATCTCAAAAGGCCGAATGGATGCTGACTTTTTTTTTCTTTTTTCTTCTTTTCTTTTCTTTTTTAGACGTCCAGGACGTGGTTGAGATAGGAGATGTAGCAGATAGCAAGTCTGAGGATCTCAATTTTGGACAGTTTCTTGTCCGGCGGCAACGTAGGCAGCAGTTTGCGGAGCTCGGCAAAGGCGACGTTGAACGCCTCCACCCGGATCCGCTCCCTGGTGGCGTGAGCCGAGCGGTACTTGGCGGTGGCCCGCCGCCGTCGCCGCTTCTCCTCGCGGCTCAGAGGCTGATCCGCCCGACACTTAACGGCCCGCTCGTCACCCTCCGCGGGCTCCTCAGACGAGCATCCCGCCGATTTGAGGCCGCTCAGCAGCGTCTCCGGGTCGGATTGAGTCCACGAGAGGTCCGCCTCGGCCTGGTCCGGACTGAGCATCATCTTTAATATCCTTCGTTAGCACGGAAGTTCCTACACAAAAAAAGAGGGGGGGGGGGGGGCATTATTTAGAACTTCTTCTACTTTATTCGTTTGTAACCATGCATTCAAAACATTTATGATCTGCACGGAAGTTCCTACACAAAAAAAGAGGTGGGGGGCGGGGGGTGCATTATTTAGAACTTCTTATACTTTCTTCGTTTGTAACCATGCATTCAAAACATTTATGATCTTTACTGAACATATCGGGTGCACAAAACTGAGGTAATTTTTGAGAGTCGGGGAAAATTACGTCAGTTGCCCACATTTTAATCCATCGCAACCGACATGTTCAAATTGAGTAAGTTAAACTCTTTTTTTTTTTTTTAAGAGTGGTATTTCTCAGTTGAAAGTCAAACTAAATGCAGTGCATTTTGAACGCTTGATGACATTTAAACTATAAATTACTCATAGTGTATCCGAGATCTATAAAAGAGCAAGGGACTATTGAACAGTATAATTCACTTTTTTTTTGTTGTTGTTTGTTTTAGAGAAATGAATAATCGGGCTTTTATTTTTAAGTGCCAAACTCCATCATGCAAATCTATTTAGCAGCGACTCAACACAATAAGACTCGGCCATCTGTCCGAGTGCTAACACAACTGTTTGGCTGAATGTTGCCAAAATATTGCCGTTTGTTCTTCACATATAATGAATACGAAAATCGAACATTTATCAATCAGAAATGAACTCTACTGGATTTATCCATGTTACTGACTTCCCCGGTGGAAACATTTCAAGCAAATGATTCACATTCGTGCCCGGATTTGAGACTCTCACCTTGATACAGTTGTCAGCTTGTTTTTTTTTTAATCTTTCTCTCGCAAATATCCTCAAAAGATGCTCAACTCGAAGTCATATTCCAGTTCGGTGTTGCACACGCAACTTCGATGTCAACTTTTTCTTCTCCAACTCGCACACATCGGAGTGCATGCGCGCCGGTGAAATGTTTGGAGAGGAATTCGCTGTTACAGCTGATGTCGGCCGCAGCTTTTTTTTTTTTTTTTGGGGGGTTGGGGGGGGGGGGGGGGGTGGGGGGGCGGTGTCGTCAGAAGGTTCGCTCCTCCACATGTGATGATGGAGAGACAATGGAAGCGGATCGCCGGCTACTCCTCCATCCGCGTGTCGGAAGGTGACGATGATGATGATGGAGATAAAGAGTCTTCAGGATGGGAAATCACTTGATGTGCATATTAACACTTCCTGTGGCTCTCCCGGTTTCACGTGTGAGATAAGATCCGACGACCCCCGTCTAATAAAGGCTCACTTCACCGCGGAGGGGCGGGAATATATTGGAGGAGAGGTATTGTCTAACGCCACCCTCTCCCTCTCTCTCTCTCTCTCTCGTGCACGAGCTTGTTGTTGTGCCCCCCCCCCTTCCCGGAGCGCTTCCGGCATCCCATGGGGGTTGAGGGGGGGTGGGGGTTAAAGATGCGCGTGTATGATAAATAAAGGAAGGAAAACATGACACATGTTGGTGCACATTTGCGTTTTGTGAATGACAGAAAAGAAATACAATAAACTCATGATGGATGCTCTTAATTTATTCGAATGTGGGCGATGGTTTGTGCGCAGGTGTACGATGTTTAATATGCATCGGTTTATATTGAAGTTCAGACACTTTTAACCTTTGTCTGAGTTTATAGCAGTTGCATGAATGGCCATAAGAAGGTTGATCAATATTTAGAGTTTGATCTGGAACCAGGGCAACAAAACGACATCAAACAGACGATTCGGTCATAAATATAAATGAGAAATAATTGTGTGATCGTCCTTTCGGTTTTCCCGGGATTTTTTTTTTTTTTTGGGCTTGAAAACAGTCACTAATGTGATGCTTTGTGATCCAAATTCAATTCGTTCTCTGACCACATTTGTAACCTCAAAAATGTGTATTCCATTGAAATGATTGGAAATGTCATAACCCTTGCCAGCGATTCAAATGGGGGGAAAAATAACTCAACAGAAATGTGATTTTTTTTCATGACAAAATAACAGTGGATTATACTGCACTCCATAAAATTAATTACATGAATGACATAATTAAAAAGAATGAGCGGCAAACAATTTTTGTCTGACTTGAATGCACTGTGTGCTCCTTCTTGTGGCCACCCGGGGCAGTGCAAAACATCCATCTTTCCATTTGCAACACACCTTAGCCTGAACAAGGTCACGGGGAGTTGCTGAAGCGTATGCCAGCTGACTCAGGGCAGAAGACGAACTGCACCCTGAACTGGTCGCCAGTCAGTCGTAGGGCCTTTATACAAAGAACCAACCATTCACACCCACATTCACAACGTCACCGAGTCAGGCGAGTGGACCGAGACCCCATCTGCGACCAGACAAGACAGCCATATGGATATACTGTACAGCGCATGCCAGCACAGTTGTATTTCGGCATTCACCCATTTATCTATTTGCAGCTTTTTATTTCTTTGTTTATTTTTAGTTCGTCAGCTTTTATCTGATCCTTTGTTGCATTTTCTGTGAAAAAAATAAAGGATGGCAATTATGGTCCCACTGCTCAGAGGACAGTCTACTGTACGTGCTGGAGACAGCCTCAACTTCTCAGAAGGGCGGTAATATTCGTCGTTCTTTGTAGAGGATAGAGAATATGCCCGTGAGCACTGTGGTAGTGTCCGTCTGGACGTGTTTCTGCAGCATTTGTGTTCTCCGAGAGCGCTTAGAACACTGCAAACAACGACGCTGTTCATGATCTTGCGCCTACGGCATTTCCCATTATGTTTTCGCGTTAATACAGCAGCCTTCAAGGCCACACCACACGCGCTCGTCTTTGTTTTATGTTAAGTTGGACAGGAAACTTCAACTGAAAGGCAATAAACAGCTCAAAGCATTTCTTTTCCTCCAAGATTTTTACTGTTCTCTGCCAAACTGCCGCTCTTTGTCGAGTGAATGCTACATAGATCAAGCAAAAAGTCAGGTCGCTTATATTTCAAGGTGCCACTGTATTTGACCAAACGAAGATTAAAAAAAAAAAAAAATTGAAAACGACTTCAGAGCCTACAGAAAGTTCCATGCACATATTGCTCATTTGTGAGCTTTCAGTCCCCCTATTAGTCCCGCTGACCACCACACCTGCCACCCATTCCTTTTCCTGTCAAGCCAGGAGGAGAAGCTGCACACCAGGATGTGTGCGGACTATTGCTGTGCCTAAAGAGGTGATTACAATTATAAGAGCAGGCTCAACAACCGGTCGTGGCCCGCAGCCACCGTGCGCACCCTCACTGCGATGGACACACAAGTCACACATGCGGCGCCAGAAGGACAAACTCAGTGCAAATCCAGCATGCATGAGAAGGATTTGACTGGGTAAGAGATGACGGACAGGTCGCCCTCGGCTCCAAGTGTGTGTAAATGTATGTGTCTGCCCTCGGCTCAGTGTGTGTAAATGTATGTGTCTGCGTGTGTGTGTGTGTGTGTGTGTGTGTGTGTGTGTGTGTGGGTGTGTGTGTGTGTGTTGCTGTGACTTGGAGAGTCTCACAGCAGGGAGTATCCGAGACATGTCAGGAACAGGAGACAGAGGCCTCTTGACAGCTGGAGCCCATGAAAACGCATGCGCGCGCACACACACGCACACACACACACAGACGCACACACACCACGGAAACAGTGATGCTTGCTCCGCGGCGGTCCGTGCTGCTGGCCTGTGATGGCCAGACCCCTCTTCAGTGCATGAGGCCCCTGGTTAAGATCCTGACAAAATGTGTTAGAATTGCATCGAGGGTAGATGCAGCCCCCCGCCTCCCCCACCCTTTGCCTCAAAAAAAAAAAAAAAAAAAAAAAAAAAAA